GTATTTTCCCACCTGGTATTTAAACACTGGGGTTTGTTGGAGTTGATGACCTCATTTCCGGTTTTTCATTGCAGTGGTCTATATATAGGGTCTAATTCTATGTGTTTGTTGATGGCCTTCTTGGTGGAGAACCAGGCCTCTAAGAATTCCTGTGCTCGTCTCTTTTTGGCTTGTTCTAGGATCCTGACATTGTCCCAATCAAACTGGGGATCCTCCTTGTCTGTATATATGGAGACGAGTGAGTTTTGGTTGTATCTTTTTGTTGCTTGAATGTTGCACGTATGAACATGTATGTATGGAAGGTTTGAGTTATAAGGAATGGCTGGATAGGGTGGGACCTTTTCACTGGAGCATAGGAGGTTGAGAGGTGACCTGAAAGAAGTTTATAAAATAATGAAAGGTATAGATAGAATTGATGGTAGCTGTCTTTTCCCCAAAATGGGGAATTTCAAGACTAGGGGGCACATTTTTAAGGTGAGAGGAGAGAGATTTAAAAAAGACATGAGGCAAATTTTTTCACAGAGGGTGGTTCGCACATGGAAAGAACTTCCTGATGAAATAGTGGATGAGGGTACAATTGCAGTGTTTAAAAGACATTTGGATGGATATATGAATAGGAAAGGTTTGGAAGGATATGGGTCAGGAGCTGTCAGGTGGGACTAATTTAGTTTGGGATTATGTTCAGTGTGGACTAATTGGACAGAAGGGTTTGTTTCCGTGCTGTATGAATCTATGACTCTATGTGCCAACTCCTTTGCGCCATTACGGCACATCGCCAATCCATATTCAATACATTATGTTGCAATAATTGACAATTAACATTGCCATGCTGCTACAAGGACACATTGTGCGCCTGGACCAGCGCCAGCATGCAGACAAGGCCAGGCTGCATCTCAGAGATGCTCGCTTGCTCACTCAGTACTCAGATGCTCACAACATTACCTCAGAGTGAGGGAGCAAAATACAAAAGGGCAAGGCAAAGGCTCAAAGTACTGCTTCATTGCTTTGCAACTTAATGTAGACACAAAGCCAGGCAGCTTCGCGTGATTGGTAGCAGTCACCAGTCAAGGAAGTAGACATGTTGCTGCATGTCACCAAGCTACATCAGCGTTACACCTGTACTAAGTGCCAGCAGCCTACGTTGCAATTGCACAGCTTCAGTGTCAAATAAATCACCATGAACCAAAGACAAGGGAGTACTGCTCTATCATGTTACGGGAGACAGCATTCATTCAGGGGACCCTAGCACAATATGTCAAAAGGGCAGCCTCTAATATCTGTCCATGAGCTATGGTATGGTTAGGCAGCCATTTGGGACAGTCAGGGTCAGGACACTCTCAAGTGTGGTAAGGAACCAAATGTCTGGCACCCCACCATCTGTCTTGGATTTTCCTGCCCTATTTTGGGCCATTTACGCCCAGACTAAGAGAAAGGGAGGGTTTGGGTGAGTTGAAAGTAGTTGGCATGAATGCTAGTGTGCAGGTGAGAAAAAGATAGTGAGGAATCCTGGGTGAGTTTGTAGACAATTTAGTAGTGGGGCAGGGGGGTTGGTTAGTTGTGTGCAATGAGAGTGCAATGTTGCATGAACTGTGAGAGTGGTAGAGCATGAGTGCTGGTGGAAGGTAGTTGCAGTCGCAGAGATAGAGTAAGATAACAAAGAGATGCTATTGACACTTACCATGGAGAGCAGAGAAAGATTTTCTTCCAATATTGCTGGGCATTCTCCAGACAGCTGAGACTGCACTGACCTGGATGGCAACCCAGACCAGGCTGGCAGGGTCTGGTGTCATGCCCTGCACTGCCATATCCAGAGGTAAAGGATGTCAGTAGCCCCACATTACCTCATCCACTATAACCTCCTGGCTGTAAAGCGTGGCATTAATTTTCTCTTATCTACCAAATCTAGGGCAAATATCATGAACTGTGAACGGTGGCTCCGGACTGACAATGATCGTCCAGGTGGAAAAAGCCCCTTAAAGATGTCTCTGACAACACAGACTGTGGTTAATTCTGGATATCCCAGCAGTGGTGAGTTCTTCCAATACAGCAAATAAAAGAATCAAGCTAGCATCAAGTGAGAGATCAGTTAGAGGTAGGGACTTACTGAGGAAAGTTTTGGGTGACATAACAAGAAAACTCCTAGGCCTCATGGAGAGAAAACCTCCATGGAAATCAATTAAATTCACTCTTAGTGAAAATATGTAAGATTCAGTCCAAGGTTTCCAATCCTGACTGGAATATCTGGACCATCGCAGTACAATAATAAACTGTATTACTCATGCATGTTCATATATGAAACTGCATTGATACCAAATTAGCAACTACAGAATGGTAATCTAATTTTGCAATACAAATAAAATCAGCATTAGTAATTTCTGCCTATGCCAAGCTAATCTCCAGTAAGATGATTGAACCCAATCTTTCATCATCAGACCTGACTGAGTTGAATATAAGTCCCAGGTATTAGCTTGTACAGCAGCTAGCCTAATGAGAAATGCACAATCTAATCTGCCATTCAAATTTGAAGAAAATTTTATAGCAAGTGGCTGTGTGTGAAGGGCAATAATGTGGCCAGATATTGCTGCATTGATGACATTGAAACTGTGAGCACTTATCATCATTAATCCACTGAAAGGGACAACAACGTTAAGAGTTCATACCTCCATACGTTGCAAATGGAGACATTTCCACAGACTGCTACTATCGATGCCATCATAAAATGACAAGAACTTCCATATCTCACTGCTAATCCTACTGTTAGATACACTTGAAAAGTTATACCTTGCTGAATAAGGTTTTTGACAGTTGAACAGTCATTAACTTCGTTATGATGTTGAACATCATTAATACCTCTATAAAACTAATTTTATATTTACAGAATGTCATTTTTTTCCACAATTAAAAATTCTACACATTTAAAAAGAAACTTTTTTAAAAGTCCATTTATTTTAACTTCTAAAAACAGTCATACATCTGAAAATTTAAATAAAAAGTAAAGGATTATAACCACTTGCAACTTTCTCATTTGCTGGGTCTGAGTTTATCAACTTGGTTGTTTGCTTATTTTCTTGCTGGTGTCACAGTTGCAGCACACGGAGATGTTCCTGGATTTGGTAGCAGCTTTAAACTGCTGTGTTAAAAGGGGAAATTCCCACCTAAGATACTGTTCAACCTTCTAAGTCAAAAGGCAAATTGCCTCAGCCCATTTTTTTCAGCTTTTTAAAATCAATTTAAGTGTATATTAGATGTTGTCAGCTGAGGAAGGAAGCAAGTAATGAAGTGTCTGGTACAAAATGAATTGAAAAGAAACCCTCTGGATTGGAAACGGCATAGGTGAGCAAGTGATAGAGAAGCAGCTCCCATCCCCACCCTGCCCTCTTTGAAGGCTTATGTAATGAATGCTTTACTGCATGAGGCTAACGTTAGCTGGGAACCTGTTTAGTACTTCCAGATATTATTCTGATAAACAGAAGCGTACCTTGGTCAATAAGGACATTGGAGTCAGCAGTATTGAAAGAACAGTAACTTAGATAATGTCTTTGATTATTGGAAATCTGGAAGTATGTGTCATAATTATTTAATAAACCTTTCAGACATGTTATGACACACTTTCAGGGCAGATGGGTCTTGAACTCAGGTCTCCTGGCTCAAAAGTAGACACACTGAAACTACACCATTAAAACTCCATGTTATATGCTAGATTGAGTGACTGGCTGGTCAACATGAGGACTGCAATGATCCACTTGTAATAATTTTTCAAGTTGAAGCAGCTGCACAGCTTTAAAGTTGAAGTCCCATCCCATCTCATATTATATCTGTGCAAATGTAGTCAGGCAGAGAAGGAATTAAAAAAATACCGTGGAAATTGCCAATCTCTTAACTATAGAACTACAGAGAGTTTTCTTAATTTATCATGAACACCCTCCTTCTGAAGCCTTGGCAAAATTCTACTGTAGCTCGTCCAAACAGTGTGAATTGAAGCCTACCTCTAGCGTATTTCACAAGAGGTGACAAACATCAGATTATCCAACAGGAGAAATACATTTTGATGTAATGAAAGCCAATTTTTAAATTTACAATAACTATTAAAACTGAGACATTCTTAGGTAAGCCAAAGGTATGTTTGCATCTGAAACTGCAATGTCAATTTTCACTTAGATTGTAAAAGAGGTTATTCAGCCTTTACTGACGGGCAAGTGCAGATTCACAGGCTCATGCTGAACCTTGGGCAGACCACTGGAAATACAGAGCAACATTCTCCACAGGAAGGGTGGGCCCCAGGCATCAGGAGCACAAAGGAAATTAGCACTGAGCACAAATGCGACAGAGTCCATACCCACTGCACAGGATCTACCATTAGAAGTGAACTGCATTGTGATGACAAAAAAAAGTGTCAGGAGACAGACTTGTCAGGCTCATGGCCACAGAGACCTGTGCCCTCGTTGCCAAAGACCTCAGACTTTGCAGCACTGCTTGCTATGCCCCAGCAATAGCCATCAAAAGTACTATGTTCCTAAATTTCTTCATTTCTGACTTCTTCCAAGGATCAGCTGCAGATATTTCATCACGTAGCAGTGTTAAAGCCAACAACAGTTAGAATTTTCCCTTTGCTTTTAATGTAAACTACTATTAGATATTTTCTCAGCATAGATGGTGGTGATCTAACACTAATGTCTGACGAAACCAGGTGGGAGTAGGATTACATTTACTCCAGTGCTCTCTTTTTTCCTCCTTTTCCAGTTGCAAAGCTAACAATAGTTATAACAGAATATCCCTGTCAGCTAAGACATTCCTGAAGACTTGAAGACACAGTCATGATTAAGAGTCTTCCCTGTCATGCAATATAGAGTGGAAGTACAATATCCGATCCACACAACCCACATTTCATAAAGTTTATTTCAGCAAGGGAAATGCTATATATTTGCCAAAGATAGAATAAATAGCTTTCTCCATCAGCATAGAAAATTTACTATGATACACATAATTCAGTGTGATGGCAAACAATGTTTCATTTCTTTTGTTTTCTGTCTCAGAAAACATTATTTCTTGTGTGATCTCATTTCTATCAGAGCAATCACAAAAAAAATTGACACCTGGCCAAGGGGAACTATGCCCATCATACCTTAGCAAGAAAATGGCAATGTAGGATTCAAATTTCTTACCATAAAATTTAAATGAGATCAAAAGACCTTTCTTGGCCTCAGTAATATAATTACATTGACTGATCCAAAATGTAATGACCTTTATTTTACCCTCTTGAATTCAACACTTTTCTCACAATGCAACTCTGGTCATCAAATTCTGTAACAGCCAATATTCTGAACAAATATAGCTGTTAAAAAGTGACAAATTGCAAAGTTGACAGCATATTGAACTGACTCTAACAGTACTGAATTTAAAAGAAGCACTTCAGATTCTGAAATTCATTTTCACTTGTATACTTGCTTTATTAAAAAAATATCTACGGCTTATTGAGTTCTGTTGGTTGCATTTCTCTGCAGACTTCTCTGAAAAGAACTGTAATTATTTTTTCACTAGAACATGCACTTAGGAGGAGAGAGTTGATCAGATAAGGAGAAGACACTATTCATCTCAGCCTTGAGTCACTCACATTGGCGTTAAATAAGGGTGGCAAAATCAATACGAACCAATAATAACTTCACATTCATGGAAGCAACTTGAATGGCTCTCCAAAATATTGAGACACATCCAAGTACATTTCAGCAGAACTGATATTTATCAAAAGTCATTTGCCCTGAAGCAGATGGCTCATTTAATTGTTCTGCTGTCACAGACGACAAAGATTTATGACAGACAATTACAGCTGCTGCAGTTAGCAGCCTTATAATCAGTGCCATTATTTAACGATTGGTGCAATAAATTGACTTCTGCTACTGTTTATCAGATAGCAAATGTTCCCGACCATTTTCCTGCTTCTATCACCCGGTATGTTTCAACTGCTACCTTTAAGCAGTTAGTCAGAGGTAGTTTTCCCCATCCTGTTCCAAAGCAAGAAAAAAAATCCAATTATTCATGATAGATGCTTTTCTACATACAGTGCTCTCTGTTTTTAACCTTTTCTATCCAGATTTATTTGTAAGAAATCACACCAATCAGTATTTCAAATAAAGACTGCAGGCTGATGAACGATCAATGTGGTATTCATATATCTTAATTTGTAAATGTACTACAGGCAAATTATTTACAATATAAAATTTAATTATATCCTCCCCCACTGGCATAAAATTATTGTTTGGATTACTTAGCAGTTACTTTTGAAACTTTAGTCTAAATTTCAAACCGGAAATTGGAAACAATCTTTTAACAATATCAACGAGCGCACTAGGAAAATCAGTACCATCATATGTAATAACACCATGACAGTATTGCATTAAATATTTTCATAACAATGTTCCGAAAAACTCTCAAAAATATTTTAAAGAAACCTATATCCCAACTATGTGATACTCCAAGCTGCTTTAGTTTGCTATTTTCTCTCCAGGCAATGGGATAAGATTAAACTTTCCAAAAAGAAACATAGGAACAAAATGAGCCCTTTCAGCCCATTGAGCCTCTCCAATATTCTAGATTATTTACCTCAGTGCCATTTTCCTGCTCTATTCCCACATCTTTTAACAGCATCAATGTACAGAAATCTATTGATCTCTGTCTGGAACTTATTCAATGATTAATCTGCCATAGCCCTCTGGGATAGAGAATTCCAAAGTTTCACTACCCTTCTGGTGAAGACGTTTTCCTCCTCTAAGTCATAAATGGCTTTCCCCTCATTCTGAAATAGCGTAGCCTGATTCTAGACCTCACCATTCAAGGCAGATGAAAATCTTTCATGCATTCACCCCATTAAATTCTAAGTTTTCGTAAAGTGAAAGTTAGGTATAAATTGAGTTTTTAACGGCGCTATCTATTTAAATACAACAAAAAGATAAACATCTGTTCAGAAATGTAAAAAGAACACATTTTATGAACTCAATCATGTTTAAAGAAGATAATTGGATGACAGTATCCTTTGTCTGCCAGCTGTAAGTGTGTTTAGGACACTCCCCATAATGGGCATGGGCTTTAACAAAATCATCCCTGATTTTTCACTCATTGACATCTCACTCCAAGGCCACAGGCTGTCCATTGGAGAAAATGGCAAAGTTGTCACGTGGCAATGATACGGTGTGCTCTTTTAAGATTAGAACTGAAGTATGATGAACAGTACAGCATTTGCCTACATTATTCATAACCTGAGAGTGCTCGATCCTAACAATACTGCTTTAATTAAGAATTTCATTTCCCTGACTTTGAGCATAAGAAAGGAAGCAAAGATGGGGTGGAGTGGGAATGAGCAAGAAAGTAGAAGGATTAACATTTTTATAGAGAAATCAATGTAATTCTTTCAAATTAAATCTCAGTTTGTTGATTTGTTGGTTTCTCACTTAAAATTAGTTATTACATGTATACCTACATTGATTTACTTAAGAATTGACAAAATACACTTGGCATCACGGCAGTCAGTCAATGCAATAAATTTCATGTTTAATTGTGTTTGATTTTCAAACGAAACCTGGAGGGGATTTAGCGTATCCTTCCTAGTTCTGGTTGCACTGGAAACCTTAGGGGTGGAATTCAAGTTGATAAAAAATAACGAGACATAAATATTCAGCCAATCCTCTATTCTCAGTTTGAGATACAACTGAAGTCGAACTTCAAAATGCAAAACCATAGAAGTTCTCACTTACACCACAGTCGTTCTATTACTACTTTTCATCAATTTTCTTTTCTCTCAACTTACCTCTTCCAATATCTGCCTGACAAAGGCTGCTCTTAGCACTTATTTCAGATAATTGGGATGAGCAACTGCAAAGCAATCTGTTTCTTTCAACATGAAAGCATTTTTATAGCCTGACTTCACCAGGCTTACTCCAATTCATTCCTATAAAGAACAGCACAATTACTAGAGTCTCTCAATGAGAAGAGCAAGGAGAAAGTTTACAGAATGAATGGCAGCAAAGCAATTGAACTACAACTTCATCTCTAACTCTGCATAATTTACAATAATTCCTTTTCTTCAGCACTACAGGCATTTATTTCTTTTACTTTCAATACACATGTTTTGCTATCTAAAATGTATTGTTTACCATAACATTTCAGGAAAGCCAAAGTGTTAAACAGCAGGAGCTTTGCTAAGGAAACATTCACTCTGCAAGCAGCAAAGTTGGACACAGCGCAATCCTCCAAAATGGCTGATAACGTGATCATGATGTCATGTGATCAAACTCTTAAAGTGACAGGCCATCATGCTTACCAAATACACAATATTTACAATTAAATATTAAATAGTCTCTAGATTGTGCAAGTATTTTATGCAGCAAGCATTATAAATCTTATAGGCTACAGCTGTGGGAAAGTTCCTGGAACATTTGTTGTTTAATATAAGGCCAAACTATCCTGGAAAGCTTTGGTATAACTACATAAAACACCAACATTGCTTTTGCAGAGGAAATTCACAGGTAATTGATTTAGGTCAATTTTACTGTGGAATATCTCTAAATGTAAATTTCCTTTATTGGTTGTAATGGTTCTATTAGTAGTCCAACAACACTTCTGCTGTTTCTTCATATATTGCCGCTCGATACCAAGGGATAATTCAGGTGAATTTAAAGCAAAATACTGCAGCTGCTGAAAATCTGAAACAAACACAGAAAATGTTGGAGAAACTCAGGTCCAGCAGCATCTCTGGACAGCAACAGAGTTCATGTTTCGAATCCATTATAACTTTTCTTCAGAAGTAATTCTGGTGAATTTACCACAATAATCACATTGGAGTAATTTACATTCAAAATTTTTCTCACATATTGCACAATTAAGATCTTTTGAGTTTGACAGCACTTTGAGTTGTAAAGTATGCTTCTGACTAAGATGTACTGTCCAAAACTTTACAAACTCCTGCCACTGCAGATATTCAGAAGAACCTAGCTGGAATAATTTTTACAATGTGAGTATCCTTGTTCTGCACATTGGTGAGCAAGAAACAACAGCAGCAAAGACTTTGATATGAGGTACCAGGAAAAGAGTGAAACTGCTAGTGCAGTACCATGCAAATAAAATGAAACTACATCTCAGAGAAAGTAAGAACTGATGATGCTGGAGTCAGAGATAACACAGTGTGGAGCTGGAGGAACACAGCAGGTCAGGCAGCATCAGAGGTGTAGGAAAGTTGACATTTCGGGTCGGGACTATTCTTCAGAAATGAAGCATCCCGACCCGAAACGTCAACTTTCCTACTCCTCTGAAACTATATCTGAGCTTTTAATGCAGAAGATAACTTTAAATAACTCAGAATATAACAAGGATTGCAATGGTTTCTCAAAACTAGTTTTGAATTTAGCAAAATTTACCCCATGCTTAAGACATGCAAATAAATCTTTATTACTGAATAAAGGTTTGGAGTCACTGTAGAAATGAGAGGCTAAACCATGAATAAGTTACTTGCCAACAGGCCTATGGGGTAAACTGTCAAGGAAATCAATTGAACAATCATGCTTTCACACCCAGATTTTCTGGAGATTCACACTGCCTCTCCCTAATTTACATAATTTGTTAGTTCTCATCAGACCATTAAATGGTGGACTTTTGTACACTGAAGCATTGGTGTGTTCTATCTCATAATCCATACAAGAAAATTATCTGGATTTTAGAAAATCTTAAAGTCCTTTAAACGCAAAACAGTAACACACAATAAATATTTTTTGTAGAGAAAATACCATTCTAAAAATAGTTTAGAAATACAAATAGGAAACATTCATGGCACTGCTGGTGTGCCTTTTCTTTTGCATCCTGTTAGACAAATGAAGTGGACAAGAAACTTCAGAGCAAGTTTCCTCAAAAAAATCAATGCAGAAACACACAAAAGTGTTTTGGCATGATTTTTGCCTAAGTGTAGTACAAGAAATTAAGCATCACGTAGGGCCATTAGTAGGACTCTTGCTTCTCGACTAGAAGCTCATGGCCCTTCCACAACAACAGAGGGAAGTGAAATAGCATGAAGATCCCACAAATCTTGCACTGAGGGCAAGGCTGCCCCTCATTTCATTGATGCCAACTTAGATCTAATGCTGTGAGGCAGAGGGACGAAGGTCCTCATCCCAGAAGATTTAAGTAGCAGGCTCACTTCTCAGTTCAATGTCATCTTCCAATGCTCATCGTCCACCTGCTATCTGCTTTTGCCCTGGTTAGCTGTCGTTTTCCCAAGAGCAAACCATTCTGCAGGGCCATAGAATAGACAGTGTACCAGACCACCAAAACAAGAGAAATAATTGCAGGAGGATACTAGAACCATTAACAGTCCATGCACAGGAAGCTCATCTTCAAGAGTTTGACAGCTCACTCATGGTTGGCCTAATGAGCAGATGGTATTGGGTGTAAGGGCACTATAATTTTGTGTTTGCAGTTCCTGGAGAGTGAGGAATCATTTCTTTGAGGGATCTTCCTTGTTTCCTTGGATCCAATCACACATGTTGGGAGTTGTACTGAAGATTCAAGTTGGCCTGGGCAATTGGAAGAGGAGGACTCGTGGCAGTAGCCCTTCCTGATGAAGAATCTGAATGAGAGGTTGCTGAGTGCCTTTATTGCCGCAGGGGTGCAAATGTTGAAGTCTAGCCTGAGGAATTCAGCAATGTCTAAAAAACACAATGCCCTCAGCGCCTATAAGACCATGTCTGTCATGAAATGAACACACTGACCAGTTCTGGCAAAGACAGTATCAGTGACTAGTGAAATGAAACGGTGTACTGCCACTTGCAAGGTTCCACTAAGGACTTCAATTGACCCTTGAAAGGGCTTAAAAACACAACATTTCAAGGCTACAGTAACTTTGATGGTAACTTGCTTGGCGTGGTAAGTGTTGCGAAGAACAAGGTCTTTGGTATTAAGACCATCTGTTACCTCCATATAGCACTGTCTGCAACTGTAAATGTGGTGTTAAGGGTAAGGCCACTGTTGCCTTCCTGGCCCTAAGCTCATTTCCAACAGTAGCGAACAAATCTAACTGACAAGTATCTATTATCTTGAATCAATGGCCAACCTACTATTGAAACACCATGTACCCTTAGGTGACAAAAGTCTAAAATTCAAACATAAATACCAATTACAGCAAATTACTTGACAGGATAATCTTATTTTCTTCATTTCGCTGTTTTGAAATCAGTTTTCTTGAATTGAGGCTTTATATTTTTCAGTTCTTTAGACTTTGTAGATGCTCACTAAATTCCACTTATCCACAGCTAAACTTAAACAAGGTCATTAATATAAATAAAAATAAGATCATTGGTTTTGAATTTTGTCCTGCTTAAAATATCAGAACATGCTACCTGGAAACCAAGTAAAGAGATTGGGTGAAATTTAGGTATATAAAACGATCCCCATCTCTTGGATGTACCTGATATGCAATGAAAGGTAGAGTATTATAAGTGAGATCTAACAATGCCTATTTGTAGTTCTGCAACTTATAATTAATATAAGTGTCAGTAAAAAGCCATTTTTCTTGTTTAAAATCCACCAAGTTCATAGAATCTGCATCAGCCAAAAATGAGAGGTTCATAATCCTATGTTCCAACTCTTGGTCCACATAATGCATACCAAAGTACTTTTAAAATATGATGAAAATTTCTACCCCTTTTCAGGCAGTGTAATCCAAAATTTCACAATTCAAGGTGAAAACATTTCTCCACAACGCTGCTCTAATACTTCCATTTTAAATCTGTATCCCTTTGGTTTTGAGCTTTCGACTAAGGAAAATGGATGTTCCTACCCACTCTATCCGATAATTTTAAACACTTCAATTAAATCTTCTTAGTTTCCCATGTTCCAAAGAAACAACTTTCCCCATAACTAAAATCTCTAGTTCTCCCAACATTTTCATAAATTTCTGCAGTATTTTACTTAAGATTTTGGAACCTGCCTTCTTGCCCCTTTTCATTTAATGATAGGCTGCCTGAGATTAGAATGCTCCCCTCTAATACACTGTTTGCATAAAGTCTCATTTAAAATAGATTAACTATAAGCCACAGCACCTTTTTTGACAGTGGATGGCAGATTAATTATACAACTTCCGGTTCAATACAATGAACCCCTTTTGTAGAGGTTTGGCAGTAATTCTGACATTTGCATTGACAGCTTTTGTGGTTGGTATAATTTTTCTGAAGGTTCACAAAAGGTTAGATTTTACTCGGGGTGGGGGAGGAGATGACATTACATTCTCGCCTCTCTCAACGCCACACCCAAAGGAAGGTTCCCACATGCTTCAACATTTAAAAAGCCTGCCCCACAGGAGTAACTTGCTGAGAACGCATAAATAGGCTGAAGTCAGATTTCCACCCTCAAGATGTACCAGCAATTTAATCTCAACTATCAACAAAGTGATGGAATATTTCTTCGAGAGTACAATCAACCAACCTGACGTAGCAATAACTGGCTCACAATGATCAGTTTAGTGTCCGCTCGGGCCACTCAGCTTGAATCCTCACTGCAGCCTTGATACAAACATGGACAAAAGAGATTAATTCAAAATTTGAAGTGAAAGTAACTGTTCTTGGCATTAAGATGGCATTTAACCAAGAAGGACCTCAAGAAGCTCAGCAAAATTAATGTCACAGGGCATCAGGATAAACCCTCCACTGGGTGTAGAGAATCCCAATCCCAGGATATCACTGCAGTTGTTCCTCAAAGTAGTGTCCTAGGTTGAATCATCTTTTGCTATCTTATCAGTAATCTTCCCTCTATCATGAAGTCAGAAATGGGAATGTTCACTAATGATTGCACAGAATTCAATATCAACAGATACTGAAGCAGTCCGTGTCTATATGCAGCAAGATCCAGACCATATTCAAGCTTCAGTGGATAAGTAGCAAGTAACATTTGTGCCACACTAGAGGGCATCGCCTCAAAATAAAGGGAAGCAGATGTAGGACTGAGGTCAGGAGGAACTTCTTCACCCAAAGGATTGTGTATCTGTGGAATTCCCTGCCCAGTGAAGCGATTGAAGCTACCTCGCTGAATGTTTTTAAGGCAAGGCTAGATAAATTTTTGAACAGTAAAGGAATTAAGGGTTATGGTGAGTGGGCGGGTAAGTGGAGCTGAGTCTCAAAAAGATCAGCCATGATCTTATTAAATGGCAGGGCAGGCTCGAGGGGCCAGATGGGCTACTCCTGCTCCTAGTTCTTATGTTCTTATGTTCACACAA